ATCAATTAAATTATATAATATGTATATAATCTTAATAAAATAATATGTGATTATAACCACAATTACATATGATTTTATCCTCAAATTTTCTATTCAATTCAACGGTCAACATACGTAGTTTGTATGCAGAAGATAGTTCTCCGTGGCCGCTAGCATAGCCACTTGCGTATTTAATTAATTTCTTAAAGTACGTCGACTTTGAATTGAATATCATTATTTGGGGGGAAAAGTATTGACAAGCGCATGAAATTGGAAAATTCAGAATTAACAGCTGTAAGATTCTAGAACTGTACTTGAGAACTAAGTTAGAATATTCTGGGGATACTACCGTCGTCGGCACGTTAGGATTCTTAAAATAGACAACATTTCTCTTTCTAAATTTAAGAAAATAAGCATCTCATTTGTTATTTGCTGACTTTTTGCTAAATATATACTCCTCATCCAGCCATTCTTCTGATTGTCTTGTAGCTATTCCGTGGTCAAGAAATTTCAAATTTTTTTTGTTAATAAGAAATTTCAATTTTAATATAAGTTGTTGATTTTAATTAATTGTATATTTGGATAGAGAAGAATAGAAGGGAGGAAAAAGTTTTAATCAATCAAATTATATTCAAATATACGATAAATGATTTTAGGATGGTAAAGTAAAATCAAAGGAGAATGTAAGATTTTAAGTGCTTATAATTGATCATGTATTGAATATGTTTTTCTATTATCATTTTAGGTTGTTAGCCCCAATGACATAGAACAAGTAATTAAGAATAATGAATTTATAGTTTAAGATAAGGTGTTATGTTAAAAAAAATCCATAGGAAGTATTGTTAAAAATATTGTAGGGTCGATTGTTTGGTTAAAAGATTAATTTTATTAAAAAGTTTTTATAAGAAACCGGTTAGGAAAGTACTATGCAAGAAGTTGATGAGTTTTGTAATAAATTTTATCATTTTGTTAACTTTTTTATATTTGATAAAAAATTAATATAAGGAAAACTAGTAAAAGTAATTTGTCAATTAATTTTATATAGAAAAATTGAGAGGAAACTTTGTTTTTCAAAAGTGTGAAAAAAATTTTTAAGTTGGAAATTATATTAAGAAAATAAATGGCGAAAGTGTGGATGGACGGAAATTTCCATATTCTATCACTCGAAGGACAGCACCTTCGAACGTGTCCATTCATTCATCATCAACTTGTGGTTCTTCCTTGAGTTTACTTTTCTCATATATTATAGATCATCATCATTGCCCTATAAATATTTGGTATCTCTTGATCTTTCCCAAGGAAAAATGGAGAATTTTCCCACCAAATCCTTGTTCCGTTTTTTTTGCTTCTGTATTGTCTTTTGTAGGATGACGGAGCTTCAGGTGGCTACGGCACGGAACAATGGAGCGGGGAAGATTCCTATAGGTGTGGTTCTTGACTTGGACTCGCGGGTTGGCAAGGAACGGCTGCGTTGCATCAACATGGCTCTTTCCGACTTTTACTCCTACTACGGCGGTCACTACAGAACAAGGCTGGATTTACGCATCAAAGACTCCAAGAATGATGTTATAGGAGCGGCGGCCGCAGGTACGCACTTCTTCCCCTCATTAGATCTCTCTCTCTCTTTCATGAATTAAAACTATATTACTAATCGTTTGATGAAAAAAGTAAAAATTAAGATGTATTGGTATTCAAAATGTTAAGATTCTTTATAAAAATTTTTAAATATCTTTAATAAATCTTTTTTATATACTAATTTATTAAGAATACTTAAATAATTTCGAAAGAATTCTAACATTTTATTTAATAAGACGTCTTAATTTTCTACTATTTCTTGTTTGATTTAGAATTACCATTTTGTAATTTTAATAGATTCTATTTAAATATTTATATTGGACTGTGTTGGTTTTTTAAAATTTTGCGACTGTACCTTTGCCCTTCTTATATTCTTTAGATTACCTTAATGATTAATTAATTTTAAAACTAGAACAATAATTGATATACATTCTAATTTAATACATTAAATAACATATTTATTAAAAAATTATTATTTTTTAGTCTGAAATTAAAAATAAATAAATTTAAAAATATAATCATGTACATAAGATACAGAAATCGGTTGAATTAACTATATTTATATTATATTTTTATAATTAAATCAAAAATATGTTAAAAAATATGTTAAACCGAAAATGTATAGATAATTTTCCCTAAAACTATTATATACTTGTGATCAATATTGATCGAAATATTTAGTTATATGGTAGAATATAATTTAGGACCTTAATCATTATTAATCTTTCTCTTCTTTAAAAGCCTATATAGGCTTGTATGGACTTTCTTTTATCTTAAAATATAGAGTAAAATCCATTTCTTTCAATTTCTTTACTTCATTTCCCTTGTTTTACTGAGCATTTTGCCAATGATCAATGTGGAAGCAAAGTCAGAAATTTTCATTTTTGAACAGCTCTAGATTTGGTAAAGAATGAACATGTGCAAGCAATCATAGGACCAGGAAACTTAATGCAGGAAAATTTTATCATAGATCTTGGAAAAAAATCTCGAGTACCCATTATCTCCTTTGCAACCACTCCTCTTACTTCCAGGCGGAGCCCATATTTGTTCCGAGCAACCCAAAGTCACTCATCTCAGATCAAAGCCATTGCTGCCATTGTCCATGCCTTTGGATGGAGAGAAGTCGTGCCCATATTTGTAGATAATGAGTCTGCTGAAGGGATTATACCTTACCTATCTGATGCCTTGGAAGAAGTTGATGCTCTGGAAGAAGTTGATGCTCGGATTCCTCATTGGAGCATTATCCCGCCTGGGGCCACCGATGAGGAAGTTAAGGGAGAGCTATATAACTTAAAGAAATTGCAGACTACAGTCTTCATCGTTCATATGGACCCAACTCTTGGGTCAAAGGTTTTTGACATAGCAAAAGAGATTGGAATGATGAGTGAAGGATATGTTTGGATAATAACTGATAAGATGACAAATCTTTGGAGTTTGGTTGACCATTTTGATACGGATTCCATGCAGGGAGTATTGGCTATAAGGAATTATGTTCCAAAATCAAATGAGTTTGATAATTTTAAGGTAAGATGGAAGGCAAAATTGGACATCTTTGGATTATGGGCTTATGATGCTACATTTGCATTGGCCAAGGCAGTAGAGAAACTTGGCACAAAAAATTTTAGCTTTGATGTGTCAAATGTTTCGGGAAGCGCAAGAACAGATCTTGAATCTTTTGGGGTTTCCCAAAATGGACCAGAACTCATCCGGGCTTTGTCAAGTATAAGATTTAAAGGCCTTAGTAGTGAAGAATTTAGCTTGGTTAATGGGCAACTGGAGTCCTCCGTTCTTCGGATTGTTAATGTAAATGAAAATTTTGAAAGAGGGATTGGGTTCTGGACATCAAAGTCTGGACTGGTTAAGAGACTAGATTTTGAAAATGTGACAAGGAATTCCGCTTCCAAGGCTAATCTTGGAACCATCATATGGCCTGGAGATCCCCAGTCCGTTCCCGAAGGCTGGAAAACTCAGACTTTGAAGATTGGAGTACCAGTCAAGAATGGATTTATTGAATTCGTGGAGGCACCAAATGATACAAGCCCCAATTCCATAGTTAGCCCCAAAGGCTATTGCATTGCAGTCTTCAATGCTACAATGAAGACAATAAAATACAACGTCACTTACAATTTCTATGCTTTTAAAATGCCTGATGGTGAGAAGACTGGATATTATGACCATTTGGTCTATCAAGTTGCTTATGGGGTAAGTAATAGTCTTTCACTTTCTTTTGGAAAATATATAGGCGTGCTTTGGATGCCTTATAAATTGACAATAACTTTGGTGAACAGAAATATGATGCGGTGGTGGGAGACATTTCCATCCGTGCAGAAAGGTCATTGTACGTTGACTTCACGTTGCCATTCATGGAATCTGGAGTGGTCATAGTGGTGCCTATTAAAGACGATGAAAACAAGAATGCATGGGTGTTCTTGAAGCCTTTGACATGTGACCTCTGGGTGGCCAGCGGTTGTTTCTTTGTCTTCATTGGGTTTGTCATCTGGGTGCTTGAGCACAGAATCAATGGAGATTTCCGTGGACCACCTTCGCATCATGTTGGAACCAGCTTGTGGTTCTCCTTCTCAACCATGGTTTTTGCACATCGTAATGATCTTTTAACTTATTTGAGCTCTTTAAGGGGTGTGAGTGGAACTACAAGCTTGAACTCGAGTTTGAGATTCAAAGCTCTAAAAAATTTGTCTAAGTTGAGCTCGAGTTGTTGAAGCTCAGTTCAACTTAACTAGATTACACACTAGCTAGTTCCAAATAGATATAAAACAAACAATCATAACATATGCTGATTTGTGTTTTCAGGGGAGAGGGTAGTGAGCAATTCAGCGAGGTTTGTGGTGGTAATTTGGTGCTTTGTGGTACTCATTCTCACACAGAGCTACACCGCTAGCTTAGCTTCTCTTTTGACAGTTCAACAACTGCAACCATCTGTGACTGATTTAAACGAGTTGGTGAGGAAAGGGGAGAATGTTGCATACCAAGATGGCACCTTCGTCCAGGGAATCGTCCAGAAATTTTTCGATCCATCCAAGATCAAGACATTTAAGTCAGTGGAAGATCTTGATGAACTTTTCACCAAGGGAAGCGCCAAGGGTGGTATAGCGGCTGCTTTCGACGAAATTCCTTACATGAATCTGTTTCTTGAAAAATATCCTGACAAATACACCACCATTGAACCAACGTTTAAGACTGAGGGTTTTGGATTTGTGAGTTCTATCACCATATCTCTCTTATCTTACCATCATATCTTTTATTCTTGATCAATGTAATTGATGTTAATTTGTGATTTCTAGGTCTTCCCAAAAGGTTCTCCTCTTGGAGCAGAAGTTTCTAGGGCAATCTTAAGACTCTCAGAAGGTGACACAATAAAAAACTTAGAAGAGAGATATCTTCCGAAAAGAACCAGATGTCTTGATTCACGTACCTCTAATTCTTCTAAAAGTCTGGGTCTTGAAAGCTTTTGGGGCCTCTTCCTTATTACCGGGGTTGCTGCAATATTAGCTCTTATTATCTTTGCAGCTGAGTTTCTGTATGAACAAAGGGAAGTCTTGCGAGCCTCTGGAATCTCAATCTGGAAACGAATCCTTCAATTGATAAGAAACTTTGACCTCAAGGACTTGACCTCTCACGCCTTTTAGGAAGAGAGAATGAAGTAAATGAACGAATTCCATTGATAGGGTTTAAATTTTAGGAGATATTAAAGCCTCCCCAAACACAAACAGCCTGCATGTCCTTGAAATTAGAACTAGACAGATTCGATCTTTACAGGATTTTTCCATAGGTCATGTTAGAAATTCGTGTACGTATTCAGATGTAATAGATAGTTTTCTTTTTCATCCCTAGTATCAAGGTGGCGAAATTTATGAGAAATTCTAAAATATCTTGATGATACCACATCAATGGTGTCCTGGTCCAATCAAAATATGACAAATTAGCAATTCACAATATAGGTCATTGCAATGGAATGGCAGACTCATTCAACAGAAATCCAAGACCTTTGTTAACATTACTGACACTTAATGGTGAAATTTGCATGTGGAAATAAATTATTCTTATATTTTTCTCTTTCTGCTTTTCTCGCCCTTTCCAATAATTTGCTTTTGTGTCTGCCTTTTCTAATTATTTGATTTTGTGTATGAGATTATTTGTATCCATTACTCTTTTATAAAAATTCACCAATTTAAAATTGTTATTCATCCAGCAGTATCAATTAATTCAAAATTAATGCATAGTTCTTTTACAAAATATTGAGCCGGGATTTAGCTTTGGGCAGATACAAGTTACCTCAACAAGCCTAAAAAGCTTGTTCACAACTAGCAATTGTAGGAAACTCTTAGTCCCCCAAAAATTGTTGATCTCTTCACTAGCTAACTTGAAACAAGGTGAACAATACACCAAGAGCTATGCAGCCCAATAAGCATAGGTTATAACTTAAGAGCCATTATTGAAACCTTAGTTTAACTTAATAAGTTCCATCAATTAACTTACATTGTTCTTCCATATAAAACTTATGTCAAGATACAAGAATTAGAGATGAGAGAACGAGGCAGACCAAGGGAGCGAGGCAGCGGACGACAGAGACCATGGGACCAGCACAGAGCACAGAGCGGAGGACGAAGAAGCAACAGAAGGAATAACGGAGCAATTAGCTGGTATAGAGATCGCCAGAGACAAGGGTATGAAGGTGGCTATGATCGAATCCTCTACAACCAAGCAACAGTATTCTTCTTCACAAACTTTCCAGATGGTTGGACTTACGAGCAAATGTGGAGGACCTTCCTTAAGTTCGGACGTGTATACGCCATATACAGCCCGCAGAGAAAGAATAAAGAAGGAAGCAGGTTTGGGTTTGTCCGATTCCTTGATGTTAAGGACGCAAGGAGTCTTGGGAGGCAGTTAAATCAGATATGGATTGGCAACCATAAGCTCAAAATCCACCCTCCTCGCTTCAATACTGAAGCAAAGACTGCCCTTGAAAGGAAACCTCACACAAATACTGCAGGAGATTCTAAACCCAGCTATGCAGAGGTGGTAACAGGGGTTAGAAGCAGAGGCGAAGAAAGGATGACTAATATGGGTAGCAAACCAGCCCAACCAGGTATCACAATCAACAGTGGCAAAACTACGCAAAAATGGGTAGAGAAGCGGAGGGAGCTGCATTGGACTGGACTTGAGTTTAATCCAAAGCATGAAGACTGGGAATGGCTAGTGGGATGCTACGTTGGAACAGCTAGATCAGTGGAGATTGTGCCCATTCTTCAAGAAAGACTATACATGGAAGGCCTTTTCTCAATCAAGCTTCGTGCAATGGGTGCGAAATTCGTTCTTATGGACTGTGATGATAAAGAGGAATTGAAAGAATTGGTTGAGTCAGCTAAGGATTGGCTTGGGCAATGGTTTGTTGACGTTAAGCCTTGGAGCCCCCAAATGGTTGCTAATGAGAGATTTGTTTGGCTAAAGTGTTATGGAGTTCCCTTGCATGCATGGGGACCCGAGTTCTTCATCTCAATTGCAAATCTATGGGGGAATTTCATTACTTTAGATGAGAGTACTAGCTCTAAAAAGAGATTTGATGTGGCCAGAATTTTGATCTCTACTTCAGAAACGAACCAAATATCCAAAACCCTTACATACAAAATCAATGGCCATTTCTACCGCATAATGTGCAAAGAGGAGGAGACAACAAATAACAGTTTCTCTTTAAAATCAGATTGCAGACCAGTATTCTCTGAGGAAGATTGCAGTGAATCTTGGTCTACTGATCAAGGTTTTGGCAACCATAGAGTCTTGCATGAAAACGACTCCGACTCGGCGTCCGATGGGGAAGATGATGACGTAACTAATAACCAGGCAGTTGGAGAAGCATCCCTAGCGAGGAACTCGAGAGATCTCTCTGACTGGGACAGTATCAACAACAGATTTGATCGGCAGCAAGAGACAGCTAATTGTTCCCAAGAAAGGCGTGAGGGGGGCTGCACAGTAGAGGCAATTAATGAAAATCTGACGACGCCGAAAAATTCAAATGACTTCAAGATTTTGAATGGGGAAATTGGGAAGCAAGCAGATGAACTGATGAAGCAATCCTCTGAGCAATCCAGTAGTGGTCCCCTGCTTCTGGGTCGGGTTTCACATGATTCGAGGTGGGCCATTGAGAAAAATATTGGGCCAACTTCGGTAGCCCAGCCAAACTACACCAACTTGGAAAATTTTAACAGAGTTGAGCCTAATATCAGCTATGATGGGCTTAACGAAGAAATACCTGGATGCTATAAACTCAAGCCAACTCAAACAACAACTGCAGTTTCATCACTTAACAACCTGGCAAATCCGAATGATATATCTAAGGGCAGGAATGTTCTTGAGCGGCGACTGGAAGAGGAATCAGGTGAGGATGATGAAATCAACTCTTTCTGGCATGGATTAGCTAGCGATTCTGAGTTAATTGATGAAAGAAATAGCCGAGGCGGAAGAAAGAAACAGAGAAGGAAAAAGAAGAACAAGCGGGCCAAATCTCGATCGTGCCTTGCAGTGTACAAGGATTCCAATCCAATAGAGATTGCCGGGGTTCAGAAGATGGGTCGCAATCGGCCAAGATCATCAAAGGAATTGAGAGAAGGAGTTCCTGAATTCTACCCAAAGGAAACCGACTCTGTAGCGGGCGCATCAATCACAGATAGTGCAATTGAAAATTGCAACAGAGGGTTTCACAACAAGGAGAGAGCCATCTCAGCACCAGATGTGTGGAATCTCATTAAAGAAATGGGCTTAGGTGCTGATGGAAATGAAGAAGAAATCATCAACAAGATTGAGCTGATGGAGCAGAGGGACGTCAATGCCAAAAAACAAATGCTGGAAGGGAATATGGCGAATGGTGGTGAGGTACGTCCAACTCATCCATGATCATTCTCTCTTATAATGTGCGAGGCTTAGGTAGTTCGGGCAAGAAAAGAGAAATCAAGGAGTGGGTAGCAAAAGAAAAAGTGCAGTTTTTAGCTTTGCAGGAGTCAAAGTTAGAACAAGTCAATCATCAAACTTGTAGAGCTTTATGGAGCACGGATGATTTTGATTTTACAGCTATGCCTTCTGTGGGTCGCTCAGGAGGATTGATTTGTATTTGGGATAAGAATGTTTTTCAGATGAATCGAGTTTTTTGTGGGAACCACTATTTGGGATTGTTTGGACTCTGGGGATCAAATAAAACACCAGTGTACCTTGTAAATGTCTATGGCCCTTGTGATTTAGTAGGAAGGAGACAGTTGTGGTCTGAGCTAAAAACTCTAGTTACAAAACAAAAAGGAAACTGGTGTGTCATGGGAGATTTTAACACCACAAAAAACATTCAGGAGAGAGTTGGATGCACTAGTGTATTGAGAAGCATGAGGGATTTTGCAAAATTCATTCATGAATCTGGTTTGGTGGATATCCCTCTAATTGGGAGGAAGTACACATGGTACCACTCTAGTGGAAAATCTATGAGTCGATTAGATCGATTCCTAATGACAGAAGAATGGTTAATGAATTGGAGTGAAACAAGGCAGTGGGGGTTAAGGAGATCACTCTCTGATCACTGTCCAGTGTTGTTGAGAGATTTCAACATTAATTGGGGACCTAAGCCTTTTAAATGTTTCAATAGCTGGATTAACAAGCCAGGCTTCCATGAATTGGTAATAGATACATGGAGAACAGCTGAGGTTCAAGGATGGAAAGGCTACTGTGTTAAGGAGAAAATTAAATCTGTTAAGAAAAGGCTCAAGGAATGGAGTGTGAATGACCGCACAAAGCTGGATCAGAGCATTGCTGAAAGTAAAGGAAAAATTGAAGCACTAGATCTAAAAGGTGAACAAGGGACTCTCTCAAGGCAGGAAGTAAGTGACAGAAAGTTAGAATTTTGCAGACTATGGAGTAACTTGAAGGTTAGGGAAGGGCAATGGAGACAGAAAGCTAGGAAACAGTGGATGAGAGAGGGAGATGCAAATTCCAAATTTTACCACAAATGTATCAGCAGCAGACAACGAAGGAAAGAGATTGTCAATGTCCAGGTGAATGGCAAAAAGCTAGAAGATGTTGATGAGATAAAAAATGGCATAGCAGACTACTTTGAGAACTTGTTTAAAGAGGAAGAATGGAGAAGGCCGAATATGGATGGCATCTTTTTCAAACAAATTTCCCAAACTCAGAACGATCTACTTGTAATACCATTTAGTGAAGATGAAATTAAAGCAGCAGTCTGGGATTGTGGGTGCGACAAGGCTCCGGGACCTGACGGTTTCAATTTCACCTTCTTCAGGAAAATGTGGAATGAGATAAAGGGTGACATAGTGGGGTTTGTCCAAGAATTTCACAAGAAGGGGAAGCTAGTAAAAGGCCTAAATGTTTCTTTCTTAACATTGATCCCAAAAGTGAAGAACCCACAAAGAATTGAGGAGTTTAGGCCTATTTCACTCATTGGCTCCCTATACAAAATCATTGCCAAACTGCTCTCCACTAGACTACGCTCAGTAATGGCTGATATTATTGGGGAACACCAGATGGCTTTCATTGAAGGCAGACAGTTATGTGAAGGAGTTGTTGTGGCAAATGAAATTATCGACGAAGCTAAAAGGAAAAAGAAGAGCAGCTTCGTCTTCAAAGTCGATTTTGAGAAGGCTTTTGATAAGGTGAATTGGAACTTCCTTGATTACATGATGATGAGGTTTGGGTTCAATGAAATATGGAGAAAATGGATCATGGCGTGTCTTCAAACCAGTCTACTGTCAGTGTTGGTTAATGGAAGCCCATCTAAACAATTTCCTGTCTCAAGAGGACTTAAGCAAGGCGATCCATTGTCTCCCTTCTTGTTCTTGATAGTCGCAGAAGGACTGAACAGAATTATCAATACTGC